AAAGCTTTTCCTCTAAGATTGGGAACAAGACAAGGATGCTCACTCTCCCCGCTTTTATTCAACACAGTACAGGAGGTCCCAGCCACAGCAATCAGACAACACAAAGAAATAAAAGGCATTCAGATTCATAAGGAAGAAGTCAAACTGTCCCTGTTTGCAGATGACATGATATTGTACATAAAAAACCCTAAAGAATCCACTCGAAAACTACTAGATCTAATATCTGAATTCAGCAAAGTTGCAGGATAAAAAATTAATACACAGAAATCTGTTGCTTTCCTATACACCAAGGAGGAACTAGCAGAAAGAGAAATCAGGAAAACAATTCAAGTCACAATTGCATCAAAAAGAATAAAATACCTAGGAATAAACTTAACCAAGGAAGTGAAAAACCTATACCCTGAAAACTACAAGACACTCTTAAGAGAAATTAAAGAGGATACACATAAATGGAAATCCATCCTATGCTCTTGGGTAGGAAGAATTAATATTGCTAAAATGGCCATCCTGCCTAAAGGAATTTACAGATTCAATGCAATCCCTATCAAAATACCAACAGCATTCTTCAATGAACTGGAAAAAATAGTTCTAAAATTCATATGGAACCACAAAAGACCCTGAATAGCCAAAGCAATCCTGAGAGGGAAGAATAATGCAGGGGGGATCTTGCTTCCCAACTTCACGCTCTATTACAAAGCCAAAAAAATCAAGACAATTTGGTACTGGCACAAGAATAGACCCACAGACAAGTGGAACAGAATAGAGAGCCCAGATATTAACCCAAACACATATGGTCAATTAATATATGATAAAAGAGCCATGGACATACAGTGGGGCAATGACAGCCTCTTCAACAGCTAGTGTTGGCAAAACTGGACAGCTACATGTAAGAGAATGAAACTGGATCACTGTCTAACCCCATACACAAAAGTAAATTCAAAATGGATCAAAGACCTGAATGTAAGTCATGAAATCACAGAACTTAGGAAGAAACATAGGCAAAACTCTCCTGAATATAAACATGAGCAACTTCTTCATGAACATATCTCCCTGGGCAAGGGAAACAAGAGCAAAAATGAACAAGTGTGACTACATCAAATTAAAAAGCTTCTGTACAGCAAAGGACATTATCAATAAAACAAAAAGGCATCCTACAGTATGGGAGAATATATTCATAAATGACATATCTGATAAGCGGTTGACATCCGAAATATATAAAGAGCTCATGCACCTCAACAAACAAAAAGCAAATAACCCAATTAAAAAAGAGGATCTGAACAGACACTTCTCCAAAGAAGAAATTCAGATGGCCAACATACACATGAAAAGATGCTCCACATCGCTAATCATCAGAGAAATGCAAATTAAAACCACAGTGAGATATCACCTCAAACCAATTAGGATGGCCAACATCCAAAAGACAAACAACAACAAATGTTGGTGAGGATGTGGCGAAAGGGGAACACTCCTACACTGCTGGTGGGAATGTAAATTAGTTTAACCATTTTGGAAAGCAGTATGGAGGTTCCAAAAAATTCAAAATATAAATACCATTTGACCCAGGAATTCTACTCCTTGGAATTTACCCTAAGAATGCTCCAGCCCCATTTGAAAAAGACAGATGCTCCCCTATGTTTATCACAGCACTATTTACAATAGCCAAGAAATGGAAGCAACCTAAGTGTCCATCAGTATAGATGAATGGATAAAGAATATGTGGTACATATACACAATGGAGTATTATTCAGCCATAAGAAGAAATCAAATCCTACAATTTTCAACAACATGGATGGAGCTAGAGGGTATTATGCTCAATGAAATAAGCCAGACAGAGGAAGACAAGTATCAAATTATTTCACTCATCTGTGGATTATAAGAACAAAGAAAAACCTGAAGGAACAAAATACTAGCAGACTCACAGAATCCAAGAATGGACTAACAGCTATTTAAAGGACTGGGGAGAATGGGTGGGAAGGGAGGGATTAGGAGGAAAAGGAGCATTATGATTATCATACATAATATAGGGGGGTATGTGGAAGGCAGTAGAGCACAGAGATGACAAGTAGTGATTCTATAGCATGTTACTACACTGATGGACAATGATTGTAATGGGGTATGTGGTGGGGACTTGATAATGGGGGGAGTCTAGTAACCACAGCATTGTTCATGTAAGTGTATATTAATAATACCAAAAAAACAAAAGTAAAAATAAACAAGACTGATTAATTTTAGGGGACAGAGAGGAAGGCGGGTATAATGGAATGCTCTATAGCAAGTTTTGGTTTTTAAGTTATTTTTTAAATCAACTAAATTCTCAGGTATCCAATGTTATTCATTTCTTATACATCCTTCTAAAAATGTTCTAGCGTACATATACATAAAAGAATATATCTAACACAAACATATATGCACTTTTCTCACTCTTTTCATAAATGGTAACAATTTATACACACACACAGAACATATATAAAATAAAATTTTATACATGGCAATCATTCCCAGACCAGTAAACAAAAAGCTTTCTTGGCGGGGAAGATACTGCTGAATGCCATTCTATTGTGGGGCTATACCATCATTCATTTAACCAATCTCATGCTGTACTGATGGACAGTTAAGAAATTTTCTATCTTACTGTTACAGACTCTGTTGCAAAAAATAACCCTGTACATAAGCAATTTTGTACAAGTTAAGCAGAGTTTTGAATAGGATCAAAATTTTTCCAAGAAAAAACTAGGTAAGATTACTGGCAGAGGGAACAACTCAAAGGCCCAAAGATGCAAAATAGGAATTAAGTAGTATGATATTACTGAAGTATAAAATCTAAGGTGGTAGAATATCAGGAGGGGATGAAGAAGGAAGAATAAACTGGAGCCAGATTACTTGGACTTAATCCTGTAGTATTGTGGAAGAGAACAGATTTCTACCTTTAAAGACTACTCTGTGGAAACAACCAAAATACTCATTAACTGATAAAAGGATAACTAAAATGTGTTAAATCCATACAATGGAATTACTCATAAATAAAAAGGAATGAATTCTCCAACATTTTGATACATTCTACAACATGGTTGAACTCTCAGGAGATTATGGTAAGCAAAAGAAGCCAGTTACAAAAAACCACATACTGCATGATTCCACTGACATAAGGCAAATCTACAGACACGGTAAGTAGATTAGTGGTTGCCTAGGAATGGGGAAGGGGGAGGTTAAGGACAAATTGGGAGTGACTGCTAACAGATACAGGTTTTTGGGGAGGTAATAAAAATGTGATGATGGCAAAAAGTCTGTGAATATACTTAAAGCCCACTAAATTGTATGCTTTAAATTGGTGATTTTATGGTATGTTAACTACATATCAGTAAAACTCATAAATAAAAATATAATTATTGTGATGGCTCTGTAGAGAATGGATGTGGAAGAGGTCAAGACTGGAGGTGGAAAAATCAGTTACGAAATTAAACAGTCTAGGTAAAAGCTAAGACACAAGCAGTACTGACAAAGAGGAGAGATGGATTCAAGAGGTATTTGGGAGGTAAGACCAACAGAATTCCTTTGCTGACTAGAGGTCAGCAAAGGGATAATGGATAAGGGATGAATCTTAAGTTTCTGGTTTGCATGACTGGATGGATTCTGTATTTTCTACTCATATGATATAGGAAGTATAAAAGAAGAGCAGACTTAGGATGAAAGATAAGTTCCATTTCAGATACGTTAAGTCTGAGCTGCCTGTAGGCTATCAGGATGAAACTGTCTAGTAAATAGTTGTGTTGAGGTGCCTCAAGCTAGGGGGAAAAATCTGGAATTGTAGATTTGAGAGTCATGAGTAAAAAAGGGGGTAAACCATGAGTAAAACTATGAAATTGGATGTGATTGTTTGGGGAAGCATATAGAGTAAGCAAGACACAGCCAGGCCAAGGGTGAAACTCTGGGGAGCACCTCTATTTTAGAAGCATGCTAAGAATGTGTATAGACGTAAATAATATTTTACTGAACACTCCCTGAATATGTGGGCACAGTGCTAGGAGGTACTTTGTTTCAAAGCCATCTTACTTAGTCCTCATATATATTTCACAAGTCAAGACAACTTATACAGATCATTCTTAATTTATAGATTAGGAGGATCAGAGATACTAAATATTTTGTGCAAGGTCTCAGGGCTAAAAAGTGACAGCTGGAGTAACTAGAATCCGAGTCTGATTCCCACGCTCAGACTCTTCCTACTTCCCCATTCTGCTTTCCCTGCTATCCATATTCCACCACCATAATATTCGGCACGGTTTTTCTGCACTGCACCTAGTAAACCTGCAATTGATTATTTAAAAATTACATCAGACAGACGCTACATTATCGGATGGATAAAACGAGGAAGCAAGGGCGGGATTATTCCACTTTAAGATCTGTCTTAAGTAAACAGGGAGTCTTCTTTGTACCGGATAACAGGGCTCAGAAGTTGTGATTCCTGGGATCCGAAAAGCAAAACCAGAATCTGCCGAGGAAAGTCCTTAGGAACCCTACTACCAGTCTTCATATGTAATGGATATACATTCTAAATGATAGAACCGACAAAGCAGAAGAAGGCTGATGTAGAATAAACGTCGAGGGTCGGCTTTGTCAGTGAGTTTCTCAGCGGAGGAGAAGAGGCGAGAACATCAGGGCTTGGAGAAGACGACTGTCCTGGGAATCTCAGAGACATCACTACTCTTACTTCCAGTTGCCCCTGGGAACCTAGGCACCAACGGCCAGAACCCTTCTCGGCTACCCTTACTCACTTTTTTGATGTTGGATTTAGAGGCTGGATGAAAGTCCTTCTTGCACATGAAATTGGCGAAAGATTTTCCCATCTTGGAGCCTACGACGGTAAAGACAGCCGCTAGAGCAGTAAGCAACGTAAACAGATCCTGACGATTAACCGGAACTACGCTTTCCGTGTCAGAGAGAACTTCCGGAGTCAAAGGCGACAACTTCCGGCAACTATAGCCACAGCGCGCTACGCCACTGCCTTTTTCCCACCCACGGAGGCTTGGTGAGGAGCGTCTACCCGGGAGGCGCGTGCATAGTTGAAATAGAAGTAGGAAGACCGGACCTGTGGTCGCTGGGACTGAGGGCTTCCTGGGAGCAAGGGGCTCCCGGGAGAGGCCCCGGGTCGCATTGTCGTTGGCTGCCGTTCGACCGCTGATTGTTGGTGTGCGGAGTACGGGCTGGGCGGCGGCTTCTCTGCAAGAGTGCTTGAAGTTCGAGCCCTTTACTAGGTGACTTCTGACTTAAGTATCATAAACTTTTCTGCTCCGATTTTCTCGTCTGTGTTAATGACAGCAGTCACCTCGCCCTAACTGTGAGAATCAAATGTTGCGATGTTACTGAAAGCGCTTGGTGAACTAAAGCATATGAAATAGAATGTAACCTACAGGAGAGCGAGGATTCTGTTTCGTTACCAGTTGTATGGTGCCATTATTTGTTGAATGATGAATACGTACATGGGAGTTAGTAAAGGCTCTCAAGGCTTTACCTTTTAAATGGGTAGGTGTGTTCCTAACTAGGCATGTTCCCTTAGCTTCTTTTTACAACCCCGGTTAGACAGCTCAGATCACCTAGTGCACCTTGATGGCCCTTGAAACTCCAGGGTTTTGAGAGGACCTGGTTGCTAATGCTATAGGAGATCCACCAACCAAGACCTCTTGTCGGGAGGTGGGGTGAGTGTGATGTCAAGTATAAGACTTTTGTAAAAAATTTACTCTTCTGCTAAATAATAACAATCATAGCTCTCATTTGAGCGTCTAATATATTCCATGCACTGTGCGAAACGCTTTCTTTATACATTGTCTTGTTGAATTTCCCATAAAAGCCCCCTGAGATTTTTACCGATGAGGCAGGAGGCTTAGGTACAGATTAGTGTGCCAAGTTTTGCAGTGGTGGAAACTAATTTTGGAGCACATATAAAAGGCGATCCAGGATATAACCGTTGAAATTCACACTGAAAAGAACAGAAGCAATCATGACCTCTTTTTCCATCATTGAAGAAAAGAAATTTAGGAGTTTCAGGTTGAAAACTTCTTTCTTGAGTCATTTCGTTTTTTGAATGAAACATTTATTAGATTTAAAATGTGTTTTTAAATTGCTGGTATCTGCTTGTGTAAAGCCATTCTAAGGTTTGGGCATTATAAAATAAAATGAAACTGTAAAACAGTGTGTTCATTCTGGAAGCAAACGTGCTTTTCTTAAATCGAGGATTTAAGATGTTCCAAATTACGAATAAAAATAATCTTTTTTAAAAATTAAAGTATCATTGATAAACAATCTTATTATGGTTTCACATAAACAACACTGTGGTTTCAACATTCACCGTATTAACTCCCCCCCCATTGCAGTTACTGTCAGCATTGTAAGATGCTACAGAGTCATTAATTGTATTCTCTGCTGTACTACCTAGTCCGCATGACCTGCCTAGATTGTGATTGCAAATTGTAGTGCCACTTAATCCCCTTTTTCTTCCCCACCCGCCCTCCCAACCCCTCTCCTTTGGTAACCACTAGTCCCTTCTCAGTGTCTATGAATACTGCTATTTTGTTCCTTCTGTTTTGTTTTGTTTTTTACTCCACAAATGAGTGAAATCATTTGGTGTTTGTCTTTCTCCTCCTGGCTTATTTCCCTGAACATAATACCCTCTGGGTCCACCCATGTTGTCGGAAATGATAGGGTTCTTTTCTTTTTGTGGCTAAATATTATTCCATTGTGTATGTGTACCACATCTTTTTTACCTATTCATCTATTGATGAACACTTGGGTTGCTTCCATATTTGGGCTATTGTAAATAGTGCTGCGATAAACATAGGGGTGGATTATGTCTTTCCAAATCAGGGATCTTGTTTTCTTCAGGTAAATTCCTAGGAGTGGAATTACTGGGTCAAATGGTATTTCTGTTTTCAGTTTTTTCAGGAACCTTCATATTGCTTTCCACAACGGTTGAGCCAATTTACATTCCCACCAGCAGTGTAGGAGGGTTCCTCTTGGTCTGCATCCTCCCCAGCATTTGTTGTTTCTTGTCTTTTGGATGTTAGCTATCCTCACTGGTGTGAGGTGATACCTCGTTGTGGTTTTAATTTGCATTTCCCTGATGATTAAAGATGTAGAGCATCTTTTCATGTGCCTGTTGGCCATCAGAATTTCTTCTTTGGAGAAGTGTCTGTTCATATCCTCCACCCATTTTTTAATAGGGTTATTTGCTTTTTGAGTGTAGAGGTATATTAGTTCTTTATATATGTTGGATGTTAACCCCTTGTTGGATATATCAATTACAAATATATTCCCCCATACTGTAGGATGCCTTTTTATTCTGTTGATGGTATGCTTTGCTGTACAGAAGCTTTTTAGCATGATGTAGTCCCATTTGTTCATTTTTGCTTTTGTTTCCCTTGCCCAAGGAGATGCATTCAGGAAAAAGTTGCTCCTGTTTATACTCAAGAGATTTTTGCCTATCTTTTCTTCTAAGAGTTTTATGGTTTCATGACTTACATTCAGGTCTTTAATCCATTTCGAGTTTACTTTTGTGTATGGGGTTAGACAATAATCCAGTTTTATTCTCTTGCATGTAGCTATCCAGTTTTGCCAACACCAGTTGTTGAAGAGGCTCTCCTTTCCCCATTGTATATCCATGGCTCCTTTATCATATATTGAGCATATATACTTGGGTTTATATCTGGGCTCTCTAGTCTGTTCCATTGGTCTATGGGTCTGTTCTTGTGCCAGTACCAAATTGTCTTGATTACTGTGGCTTTGTAGTAGAGCTTGAAGTTGAGGAGTGTAATCCCTCCTGCTTTATTCTTCCTTTGGCTATTTGGGGTCTTTTGTGATTCCATCTGAATTTTAGAACTATTTGCTCTAGTTAGTTGAGGAATGCTGTTGGTATTTTGATAGGGATTGCATTGAATCTGTAGATTGCTTTAGAAAGCAGGATGGCCATTTTGACAATATTAATTCTTCCTAGCCATGAACATGGGATGTGTTTCCATTTATTGGCATCTTCTTTAATTTCTCTCATGAGTGTCTTGTAGTTTTCAGAGTATAGGTCTTTCACTTTCTTGGTTAGGTTTATTCCTCGGTATTTTACTCTTTTTGATGCAATTGTGGATGGAATTGTTTTCCTGATTTCTCTTTCTGTTAGTTCATTGTTAGTGTATAGGAAAGCCTCAGATTTCTTTGTATTAATTTTGTATCCTTCAACTTTGCTGAATTCAGATATTAGATCTAGTAGTTTCGGAGTGGATTATTTAGAGTTTTTTATGTACAGTATCATGTCATCTGCAAACAGGGACAGTTTAAAACCTCTTCCTTGCCAGTTTGGATGCCTTTTATTTCTTTGTCTTGTCTGATTGCTGTGGCTAGGAACTCCAGAACTATGTTGAATAAAAGTGGAGAGAGTAGGCATCCTTGTCTTGTCCCTGATCTTAAAGGAAAGGCTTTCAGCTTCTCGCTGTTAAGTATAATGTTGGTTGTGGGTTTGTCATATATGGCCTTTATTATGTTGAGGTACTTGCCCTCTGTACCCATTTTGTTGAGAGTTTTTGTCATGAATGGATGTTGAATTTGTTGAATGCTTTTTTGGCATCTATTGAGATGATGAAGTAAAACTTCTAAAATATGTACTAAAAATGCTTTTCTCTTTTTATTTTAAATCTTCTGTGTCATTTTTAGTTTTAAGAAAATGGAACCTTATTCCTGTGACACTTTTGTGGCATTACCTCCAGCAACAGTTGATAACAGGATTATTTTTGGAAAAAATTCAGATAGACTGTGTGATGAAGTACAAGAGGTAGTTTATTTTCCTGCTGCAATTCATGATAACTTGACAGAACATCTTAAGGTAGGTGAAGTATGTGTTTTGTTAGCTATATACTTTTTTTCTATCATTAGCTAGCCATTTGACAGAGATTATAGAAGTTAAAAATCCAAGAATTTAAAGTGAAAAATAATTTGAATCAGAACTAGACTTCTGGAGTTTTATTTCAATGATTTGGAGGAAGCTGAAATAACAATTATAATTATTATAAATTCTGTGATCACATGTTTGAATGGACCTTGAGATTGAGATCTGCTTCCCTAAGGTTCAACTCACATCTTCTTCTACAAAAAGTTTCAAGATTTTACAACTAGAAACCATCTCTCCTCCTGAGCTTCCATTAACCCTCATCTTCACTTTTCTTTATGGTCCTTACAGTTATATTTTGTTGTTCTTAATGTATAAGTCTTAGTTCCTTGAAAGGAAGATTTGTATCTGATTCATTGTTGTAACTAACATCTCATAGCATAGCAGAGTCCTTTATAATAGGAGTTGCTTTAGCAAATATTTGAATGAGTAATTGCTTTAGGATCAGTTCTGAATGTTTTAAGAGTAGTACCTTTCTTACTGGAATTTTCAATTTGGTAATACTTCATTTATACTTTCATTTATGAAAATAAGGTCATATCTTTTGATTGATTTTTAAGATTCTGGACTTTGATTACTTTTTCGTTTTTATGGTTGTTGCTATGACTTTCTTTATAGTGTACTTACATAGATATTGATCAAGTTCCCGAAACATATGCTGTTGTCCTTAGCCGCCCAGCTTGGTTATGGGGGGCAGAAATGGGAGCCAACGAGCATGGAGTTTGCATTGGGAATGAAGCCGTGTGGGGAAGAGAGGAAGTTTGTGACAAAGAGGCGCTACTGGGCATGGACCTTGTCAGGTTATTTTTTTGTTTTATTTTTGCACTGTAGAACTAATTTTAAATTTAGGTTGTAACTCTTATGTGTTTTATTTTCCTCTTTTTTTTTTATTTACTATTTATACTTTTATAGTTTGTGTTAAAAATGGTTCCTAGTACAGGCATGTAATTTCAAGACTCAAATATCATTAACTGGGAGAAGGGAATAATTTAAAAATTATTATTCATTGGAAGTACCTTACATACTTTTATCAGACTTTAACTAATTCTCAAAGTAGCCTTATGGGGTATATATTATTATCCTCGTTTTAGAGATGAGGTACCTGGTGTACAGAGGTAAAGCAGCTTGCTAACAAATCACCAACTTGGAATTTGAACATAGATCAGTTTGTCTCCAAAAACTTTCTTCACATTCTTTCTAAACTGACTTCAGAGGGAATAGTTTAGAAGTTGGATTTCAGTTTATCTGTTAATTTGAAAGAACTTTAAATTTGAATATAAACATAAATTCTCATGTGCAGGAAATCATTTAAAAAATAATGGAAATTTATTTTAATCTGAGAACTTTAATGTTTTTATTCTAGACTTGGTCTTGAAAGAGCTGATACAGCTGAAAAAGCCCTCAGTGTCATTGTTGATTTATTAGAACAATATGGCCAGGGTGGAAATTGTTCAGAGGGTAGGATAGACTTTAGCTATCACAACAGTTTCCTAATAGCTGACAGGAATGAAGCCTGGATTCTGGAAACTGCAGGGAAGTACTGGGCAGCAGAAAAAGTACAAGGTATGGACAACTTTTCATGATTTAATTTGCTATGCAATTAATAAAATACCACCTTAATTGCACACACTGAATTAATTGTTTTTCATGATTTATAATCCAGTGCAAAGAAATGTTGAACTGTAGGGGAAATGAAAAAATTTGAAAGAACATAACAGTAAAAAAGCACTGTAAAGAGCTTTAATAAAAAAGCGAAAACATTATCTTTTTACATTTGTATAATATTAATTTCATATAACTTGTGTATATTTTCTGTGCAGCAGCTCTTGGCTGTTTTATAGTACTTTTTCACTTTTTAATCACCCCTTACCATTGTTTCCTCTTTAAACTTGGAGCTGAATTCCAAAATTTCATCATGTGTGGGTATGGAGGTGAGGAAAGGGGAGTGTTTTTGGTGATTGGTGTCTGTGGGTTAGTGGTTGGAAAGAATATATTGATAAAACAGCAAAGCATAAAAATTTGATATCTTTGAGTAAATGACACAATATGTTTTAGAATGCTTTTCTTTTTCATGGCTTCTTTGTGTTCATATATTCCTTTCATTTTTCAAGTCTAGAAATCCAGAGATTTACTGAAGTGATTTACTCAAGGAAGTGAGTGAAAGGATTTAAATCTTTCCATCCTGACTCACAGTTCAATATTCTTTCACAAGAATACACCCTTGTGCTCAAGCATGATCTTGTACTTCCTGAGTACTTACTCCTGGATCTCCTAGTTTTATGGGGGATATAAGGTGCACATGCAAAAATATTAAATGGTGCATGAATGATAATAGACACAGAGATGCTGTGAACACTTAGAGAAAGAAAAAGTCATCGTGAGCTGGAAAAGTTCAGAAAGTCTTCATGAAGGAGGCCTTCAGCTTTGGAGGATTTACATGCTGTTTTCCAAAACAGGTCATTGTCAGTTATTTTGATGGACATTTATTTTGTATTTTGCCTGTGTGTTTATCTTTTATTTTTTTTCTGCTTGTGGTAAAGGACTTTTTTTAAAATTAAGGTATCATTGATATACACTCTTATGAAGGTTTCACATGAAAAGCATTGTGGTTACTACATTCAACCATATTATCAAGTCCCCCCCCATACCCCACTGAAATCACTGTCCATCAGCATAGTAAGATGCCACAGAGTCACTACTTATCTTCTCTGTGCTACAGTGTCTTTCCTGTGACCCCCCCCCTCCCACACGCACACCATGTGTACCAATCATAATATCCCTCAGTCCCTTTCTTCCTCCCTCACAACCCACCCTCCCCCCTTCTCCCCTTTGGTAACTGCTAGTCCCTTCTTGGAATCTGTGACTCTGCCGCTGTTTGTTCCTTCAGTTTTGCTTTGCTCTTATACTCCACAAATGAGGGAAATCATTTGGTACTTGTCCTTCTCCACCTGGCTTATTTCACTGAGCATAATACCCTCTAGCTCCATCCATGTTGTTGCAAATAATAGGATTTGTTTTCTTCTCATGGCTGATAGTATTCCATTGCGTATATGTACCACATCTTCTTTATCCATTCATCATCTACTGATGGACACTTAGGTCGCTTCCATTTCTTGGCTATTGTGGCACATCCAAAAAAGTGCTGTGATAAACATAAGGGTGCATATGTCTTTTTGAATCTGAGATCTTGCTTTCTTTGGGTAAATTCCTGGGAGTGGAATTCCTGGGTCAAATGGCATTTCTATTTTTATTTTTTGAGGAACCTCCTTATTGCTTTCCACAATGGTTGAACCAATTTACATTCCCACCAGCAGTGTAGGAGGGGTCCCCTTTCTCCACATCTTCCCCAGCATTTATTGTTCCTAGTCTTTTTGATGTTGGCTGTTGTAACTGGTGTGAGGTGATATCTCATTATAGTTTTAATTTGCATTTCCCTGACAATGATGTGGTGCATCTTTTCATGTGCCTGGTGGCCGTTGGAATTTCTTCTTTGGAGTAGTGTCTGTTCATATCCTCTGCCCATTTTGTAATTGGGTCCTTTGCTTTTTGGGTGTTGAGGCATGTGAGTTCATTATTTATTTTGGATGTTAACTCCTTGTTCGATATGTCATTTACAAATATATTCTCCCTTACTGTAGGATGCCTTTTTATTCTGCTGATGGTGTCCTTTGCTGTACAGAAACTTTTTAGTTTGATGTAATTTGTTCATTTTTGCTTTTGTTTCCCTTGCCCAAGGAGGTGCGTTCAGGAAAAAGTTGCTCATGTTTATATTCAAGAGATTTTTGCTATGTTTTCTTCTAAGAGTTTTATGTTTTCATGACTTACATTCAGGTCTTTGATCCATTTCAAGTTTACTTTTGTGTATGGGGTTAGACAATAATCCAGTTTCATTTTCTTACATGTAGCTAACCAGTTTTGCCATTGCCTGTATGTTTATTAATACATAAAATTAAATTTAGGCTGTTTTTCTTATTGTAATAATTGGCCCAAGTGTATCACTAAGCACTTTTTATTTTATTAAGTGTAAGAAAGAAATGAATACATGTATTCTTTTGAAAAAGGTAGCCCCACCTAGCCATCCAAAATGAATGCCTTCACTGAGTCTAATTATCCAGTTGTAGATTAACTTTGCCAATTGATTTCTCTAAGTGAGCCCAAGAACTAAATACTTAAACTGTAGGGAATTATCAATTATAAAATTCTTTGTCTTTGATTCTGTGATGACATAAGTCTAGTTTTTGTAGTGAGAATATCCCAAGATGACTTTATTAGAGTACTTTAATTGATTTCTACTTGGTAAGCTGTTATTCCAGATCTGTTTTAAAATATTACCAATTTTCATTTATCATGATCTATTTCACTTACATTGATATCTTTAAAAGAGGCTTTTATTGTTTCTTCTGTTTTGTACTTTAGTTTAAAATTTTATTATAATTTGGTGCCATACTTTTGGAAGCCTGTCTAAACTTACATGTGACTTTTTTTTTAAAAGTAATTCATACAAAAGACTGATATCTAGAACATACAAAGAACTCTGAAAACTCAACCAGACAAATGCACAAAAGACATGAAGAGACATTTCACCCAAAGGGATATACATATGTCACAAACAAACATGAAACGATATTCAACATCATTAGCCATGAAGGAAATGCAAACTAAACTTACAAGAAGATATCACTTTATCTCTATCAGAATGGCTAACATTTTTTAAATGACACTACCAAATGCTGGAGAGAATGTGGAGCATACCAGCAACTGATACATTGCTAGTATGAATGTACAAACCACCACTCTGGAAACAGTTTGGCAGTTAAAAAAAAAATGCAATGACCTTATAACCCAGCAACTGCAATCTTGTGCATTTATTCCAGAGAAATAGAACTTACATTAACACAAAAACCTGTATATATTTTTATTGCAGCTTTTTCCATAATAGCCGAAAAACTTGAAACAACTCAGATGTCCTTTAACTGGTGAATGATTAAACAAGTAGTGGTATATCCATACCATGGAATAGTACTCAGCAATAAAAAAGAAATGAACTGTTGATACATAATATAACCAGGATGTATCTTTAGAGAATTATACTTAGGAAAAGAAAAAAACCAAAAGGTTGTATTCCATATGATTCCATTTATATAATATTCTTGAAATAACATTATACAAATGGATGATAGTGTAGTGGTTGGCTGGGCTCAATGAAGGGGTGGCAGTAGGAGTGGCTGTAAAAGGGCTACATGAATGATACTTGTGATAATGGAAGTATTCTATATTTTAACTGTATCAACACCAGTAGTTTGGTTGTGATATTATACAAGATGTTACCATTGGACAAAACTATGTAGAGGGTACATAGGATCATCATTATTTCTTATTACTGCATGTAAATCTACAGGATCTTAAAATAAAAAATGCAATTAAAAAAGTAATTCATTTATCTTTTTGAGTGTATAATAGATGCACATGGTACAAAATTTAGAAGTGTATATTTACACTTAAATGTGATTATGTAAATAAGCTAGTGATTAAGAAGAATAATGTACCAATAGATATATCATGTTAATAATATGACTTTTCTTCTCCCTCTCCTCTTTTTTCAAAACAGAAGGAGTTCGTAATATTTCTAATCAGCTTTCTATAACAACCAAGATTGATCGGGAACATTCAGATATGAGAAACTATGCGAAGCAGAAAGGTTGGTGGGATGGTGAAAAGGAGTTTGATTTTGCTGCAACATACTCTTATCTTGACACAGCCAAGATGATGATTTTACCTGGCAGATACTGTGAAGGCTACAAGCTTCTCAATAAACATGAAGGTAATATTATTTAATGACATTGGAATGAAAAGGTGTTCATATAATGTGGGTGTGATAAAATCTTTTCTTAAAGGAATTATTTTTAGTAAAGGTAGGATTTTATTAAAACTGAACATACTGTGATATTGTAGGCTGTTTTTTCAGTGAGTTGAGTATATAATTATGAGAGAGTAAGAGTCTTTTTAAAGGACAAGTTCAGATTCATAATCCTCAGACCCTTTTTTCATTTCTTACTGATATTCTTTTTTTTTAAATTTTGGTATCATCAATATACAATCACACGAGCAACACTGTGGTTACTCAATTCCCCCCATTATCTAGTCCCCACCACATACCCCATTACAGTCACTGTCCATTAGTGTAGTAAGATGCTACAGAATCACTACTTGTCTCCTCTGTGCTGTACTGCCTTCCCTGTGCCTCCTCTTACGTTATGTGTGCTAATTGTAATGCCTCTTATTCCCCTTATCCCTCCCTTCTCACCCCTCCTCCCCAGTCCTTTCCCTTTGGTAACTGTTAGTCCATTCTTGGGTTCTGTGATTCTGCTCTGTTTTGTTCCTTCAGTTTTTCCTTTGTTCTTATATTCCACATATGAGTGAAATCATTTGGTACTTGTCTTTCTCCGCCTAGCTTATTTCACTGAGCATAATACCCTCTAGCTCCATCCATGTAGTTGCAAATGGTAGGATTTATTTTCTTCTTATGGCTGAATAATAATATTCCATTGTGTATATGTACCACATCTTCTTTATCCATTCATCTACTGATGGACACTTGGGTTGCTTCCATTTCTTGGCCATTGTAAATAGTGCTACAGTAAACATAGGGGTGTCTTACAGATATTCTTAAAACCAAATTGGGATCTTTTCTTCTCAGAATTCATTGGAACATGGAAACCACCTTATCTGACTATTGCTGCTGCTTCTTTATTAATTTTTTTTATAATATTCTTGTTATATAGTAGTATTTTCTAACTACAAAAGTTTTATCTAGAACTGATTGAGAAGACAAACTGGTTAAGACATAAGAATTCCCTATTTTCCTTCCCAAACTCCAGAAATGTTGAATAAAATATTTAAACATTTAGGACATGTATAGCAAGGTTTGAACATGGTGAAGAAGAAATCACCAGGTACTAAAAATGAAGATAACCCACAGTATTAACAAGGTATAGGGTGTTTCTTCCCCACTCAGTCTTCCTCCTCTCTGTGTCAAAGGGAGGATTCTGGACCAGATATAAGCCTTAGAGTCTAGTTTTAAAATCCGTGAGAATGTAGGTGTCTAGGTGAAAGACGTATTTGGGGAGCAGGAACTGAACTATGTACCAAGATTACAAACATGTAAAAATGCTCCCTGCCCAGAGTCCAATCCTGGAATTAGCTGTGTGCTCCCCATCTGTGGATCAGTACAGTCTCTTGTGAGAGATTGAACTCTGAGCTACTTGTTTTTAGTAGACTCAGACTGGTCTAGGGTTGTGCTGAGAAACACACACTGGTTTGGAACCAGTAAACTACACAGGATCCCAGTATATCTGTCTCTACACCCACTATGTGGATATTTGATTTGGCAAATATTCAGATTTCACTCAAATTTCCCATCCAAATTAGAAGTCTGCTATAATGAGTCTACATGTAACTGTCATTGAAAACATTTAACTTATATGGGCATTCAGATGAAAGAATGTAGTTTCTATGTATACTCTGGATAGTTTCTATTGTTATATCCTCAAGTTTACTGATCTTTTCTTCTACATTAACTAATCTTCTGTTAATCTCATCTAGTGATATTTTCATTTTGGATATTACATTTTTCTTCTCTATATTTTCCATTTAGTTCCTTTTGTATGTATCCCATTTCTCTTTTCATTACCTTCATGCTTTTTTTTTAAAACACTTGAGCATATGCAGAGCATATAGCTGTTTTAGCATCCCTGTCTGCTAACTCCATTATCTCCATGACTGCTGGGTATGTTGCTGTTCATAAGATTTTTCTCCAGTTTTGGGTCACATTTTACTATTTATTCATGTGTCTCTTGATTTTTAATTGGATGATGGAGGATGCAGATTTTAATTTTGGGGTGCTGGATTTTGTTTTATTCCTTTAAAGAGTGTTAGACTTTATTTTATCAGTTAGTCAATTATCTAGAGAACAATTTCATTTACGCCTGTTTTTAAGCTTTTCTAGCTCTAGGATAGCTTTTACTTTCGGGCTAGTTTAGTCCCACTACTAAAGGATGTGATCTTTTCACGTTTGTAATCTTGGTAAGTAGTTCAGTTCCTGCTCCCCAAGTAGGTCTTTCACCTAGACACCTACTACATTCTGATGGATTTTAAAACTAGACTCTAAGGCTTATATCTGGATCAGAGTCCTCCCTTTGACACAGAGAGGATTTACCTTGAATGCCTTGTGTACAAGGTCTCCCTACTCCAGCTAGTGGAAACTCAGAAGGTCCTCAGCCCTGTGTTAGCTTTATGAACTTCTTAAAGCTGTAGTTCTAGTGGTTGCTCTTTTCTTAAAAATTGTATTTTGTTTTTGTTTTTTTAGCTGTATGGAGTTTTACCCTATGTGTGTGTGCAAATTGGTATTTAGTCAAAAGCTCCAGGGAACCACTGTACAGATTTCTAGAACTTTTTCTTTGGGTAGCTCTTTTCTCTCTGGTACTCTGCTCTGCAAATTCTAGTCACCCTGACCTCCTTGAACTTTGATCTCTGTTTCCTCAACTTAGAATGATCTTTGGGCTATATCTGGTTTCCCCTTCCCTGACCTGTGTTCTGGAAATTGCCTCCAACAACACAGAGCTCCTGGAGTCAGCACAATGATAGGGTTTACCTTGTTTGTGTCCCTTCTCTCAGGCATCATAATCCTACACTACCTGATGCCTGATGTCCAGAAACAGTTGTATGTATTTTGTCCAGTTTTCTGTTTGTTTATAGTAGGATGGTTATTCTGGACCCAACTGTTCCTTCATGGTTGAAGGCAGAAGTCCTCTTTACATTATAGTAAATGTTTTTACAGTATAGAGGAAAAGTGCAATTTTTATTCAATATGATATATTACTAACTACACAGAAGTACAACTACTATAAATTCGAGAGTTAAATAGCATTTTATATGTTTCCTATTATGCAGAAGTTCTTGGTAGATTGTTACTTAGCCTTTAAAAGCATTTAGTAACATTGGATTGGCTATATAACTATTAGATGAAGTAGACTTTAGATTAAGGTGGATTACCAGGGAGAAAGAAGGATATTTCATAATCAAAAGAGTGTCATTTTAGGATTATTTTGTCACCATAGTAAATGTATATGCACCTAACAACAAAGCTTAAAAATACATAAAGAACTGAAAGAACGGAAAGTAGAAATAGACAATTCCACAATAATTGTTGGAGACTACAGTACTTCTCTTCCAGTCTTCAGAAGAACCAGCAGACAGAATATCCACAAATCAAGGCTATAAAATAACTGAACAATTGCATCAACCACTGGATCTAATTGATGTTTATAAAATAGTCCACCCAACAATGGAATATATATTCTTTTTTTTAAAATCAAAGTATCATCGACATACAATCTTATGAAGGTTTCACATGAGCAACATTTTGGTTCCAACATTCACCCATCTTATCAAGTTCCCACACCAACCCTGTTGCAGTCACTGTCTATCAGTGTAGTAAGATGCTGTAGCCATTACTTGTCTTCTCCATGCTATACTGCCTTCCCCATGACCTACCTATATTGTGTGTGCTAATTATAATGCCCCTTAATCCCCTTCTCCCTCCCAAACCACCTCCCCAACCCCTTTCCTTTGGGAAGCACCTATCCCTTCTTGGAGTCTGTGAGTCTCCTGCTGTTTTGTTCCTTCAGTTTTGCTTTGTTGTTACATTCCACAAATGAGTGAAATCATTTGGTATTTGTCTTTCTCTGCTTGGCTTATTTCACTGAGCATAATACCCTCTACCTCCATCCATGTTGTTGCAAATGGTAGGGTTTGTTTTCTTCTTATGGCTGAATAGTATTCCATTGTGTATATGTATCATCTCTTCATTATCCATTCATCTACTGATGGACACTTAGGTTGCTTCCATATTGGCTATTGTAAATAGTGCTGTGATAAATATAGGGATGCATATGTCTTTTTGAATCAGGGATCTTGTTTTCTTTGGATAAATTCCTAGGAGTGGAATTCCTGAGTCAAATGGTATTTCTATTTTTAGTTTTTTTTGGAACCTTCATATTGCTTTCCACAATGGTTGAACTAATTTACAATCCCACCAACAGTGTAGGAGGGTTCCCCTTTTTCTGCATCCTTGCAGAAAATTTGTTGTTTCTTGTGTTTTGGATGTTGGGGAATGTACATTCTTTCAAGTGCATATGGAACATACACCAAGGTGAACATATCTTCAGTCATAAAACAAATCTTAACAAATTTAAAAGAGACATAACAAAGTGTGGTCTGTGTCACTAATGAAATTCAAAATCAGTTATAAATGGGTATCTGGAAAAATCTCTACTATATAAAAACTGTACAATACACCCTTAATCTATGGGTCAAAAAAGAAGTCTAAAGGAAAATTAGAGACTATTTTGAATGGAATGAAATGACAATATCCCACAATTTATGGGATACAGCAAAATAAGTACTTAAAGGGAAATAGATAGCATTAAATGCTTATAGTAGACAATAAGAAAGGTCTCAAGTCAACAATATTAACTTTCACCTTAAAAAAAAAGAACAAAATAACTCCCAAGCAAGGAAAAGGAAGGAAATAAAGATAAGAGCAGAAATCAATAAAATTGAACATAAAAATACAATGGTTCTTTGAGAAGATCAATAAAATTGACATTCTCTAGACAGTTTGACAAAGGAAAAAAAGGAAAAAGACACAACTTACATGTCAGAAAAAGAAACTTCACTATAAACCTCACCAACATTAGCTAGATAATAGGGGAATACTACAAAGAGCTCTAAAGTGTATTCAATAACAGAGGAAATGAGCCA